AGGGTCTCCCGTGATATTTAGGACGTGTGACATTGAGAAGCTGCAGGCTCATAACAAAGGGGAATTTTCTCTGCCATGGAAAGTGACACCTTTTCCAATGGGCATTGTAAAATTGAATGTCAAAACATAAATATTTCAGTGGGGGTAGTTCAGCCGTCAGGGGGCTCACCTGCTGATTCCACTATGTTTAAGGGGTCATGGTTCAAGATCCAGTGGCAACAGTCACCCTCAGAATTATCTCAACACGGAGGGTTTTATTTTATTGAATGACTAAAGTAGAGAACACGGGATAACTGTGCACTATGGACCATGCTAAAGCAAGATTTACTAGAAGGTGTTGTCTGGGCTGCACTTTCTGAGACAGTGAGGTTCAGGTTTAAAATTTTGCGATGGTATAAAAAAATGAACCAATCTGATTAGAAAAGAATAGTGGGGGCAGTGGGGAGAGGGAAGGCAATAGAAGTGGAATACTCTTCAGTTGCATGTTAAATGGATACCCTGAGCTGACCATAAGTTTTCAAAATTGAGAAATGTAATCCTGTCTGGTGGAGATTAGTAATGGAAAAGGCTTTGGATTTCCATTTCTTCCTGAAGAATTTTGCGCGTTGTAGAGACTTTAGGACAATATACAGTGAAGGAAAAAATGCCCTATTGGATTGAAAAGGTTGATAGGGAAACGATGTGGTTCACAGATTAGGCTGGCACTATGACAACAGTACTAATGTGTGAATGGGAGTCTGTAGAAATTTGCATTTTGGCTGCAAAGGTTATGTGGTACAAAGATGATCTCAAGAGCTTTCAGTGAATGGCCCTACAAGGCAAGGGAAATCTCAAGGGTACAGAAAGAGAGCTTCCATGAGGACATCTAGGAGACTGAAGACATGTTCTGTCCATATCTACTGGTGCTCACTGCTACACACAAACAGCAAGGACTAGTCTTGATGAGTTGTTTTAGAAATTATGGAGTGAAGCAAAATATTCAGAGAGATTTTCAGTGGGTGTAAATTACCCTTAATTGCTTGCAGTGAAGGGAACTATTCCTTAAAACTGAGGATCTTATTCATGATCTGAATGTTTTCAACAAATCAAGATTGCCCCTCAGAGACAGTGCATAATAGTGTCTTTTTGACACTAGCAGATTGTTTTGGCAAAGTAGAGTAGTAACATTTTTCAGATTAGCAGTGTTCACCAGAACTCTCATGCTACTCAACTGTGGCTTAAATATAGTTTAATTTCTATAGAGCAGATGGGAGAAAACGTAAGTTTTATGGTATATATTGAATAAGGAGGTTATTATTTTTTCAGATATATATTCTTCAGTCTGGTGCTTTGTATATCAACCAGCTATTTAAGAACACAAACATGAGAGAGTAGATATTTAGTGGATATTTTTTATGTTGTGGTTTTGTGGGCTTTCTTTTTTTCTTTTCTTTTTTTTTTTTTTTTTTTTTCCCATTCTTATAGCTGTTCACATAGACAGCATTTTACTGCTCTGGTAAGACATACTACAGTCCAGATCACATAACATGCTGTGGGAGTTACACACTGGTTGTTCATATTTTTCATATTTGTGATTTTCAGGGCTATATGCAACGTTAATAGGGAATACAAGCTTAGATGTGACAGGTAGAGCCTAGTGTTTTAAATTTTCCAGCAGACAAAGTAATGTTATTTTTAAAGCCTAAATTAGATTTATGTAGGCAAAGCGTGAGTGAGGAGACAAGACTGTATTTGCCCCTTTTTGAGGAAGGTAGTAGCATTTTGGAGATCCAGAAACAAGATGTAACGGTGCACTTATGTCCTAAGGTAATTAACGACATCAATTACAAGTGCAAATATTTCTCAGTTCTGTGCATTCTAAGTCCTGTTTGTGCAGAAAGTGACACTATTTTATAAAGGAGCATCTTTGAACACGAAATACAAAACGATTGCATGTCAGATTTGCCTTCACACTCAAGCCTGTAAACTCAGATGACAGAGAAGGCACTGGAATCAGAGCACTGCATTCCCTCTATTGCTGTCTGTGTTAGTCACATCCACTGCTGCAAGTGCAATCCTGAAGACTGAAGTTATGCCTTGTGAAGAAAAAAAAAACAAACCCAAAAGCACCTTTTAGTTTCAGTTTTATGAATGCTGTGATGACACTTATGTGGACTTGTGGACTTCATGCTTCTGGACTTCACAGAACAGGTGATGTTAAAGTGCTAGTTATGCTTGGACAGAAATATAATATTTTTTTTTAACACATAGCTATAAAAAAATCCCTATAAATACGTGTATTTATATCAGTAAGAAAGACAGTGAAATGCAATTTAATAAATAATTATTCCTAAAACAGAAAAGATTTTTCAATACCAGACACTTTCACTTCTGCTTTGGGAAGTATCACACTCAAAAGGCAATGTGCTGAAAGAACTATAAATAAAAACCTTTAAAAAAGGGCTCTAAGAGGAATAGGAAGACTTATCCTGAAGAAGTGGGGGAAGGAAGGGAAGAGTGTTTCAGAGCAGAAAGTGCTGCCACACAGCTGAATAAAAATAATTGGAATTCTGGAGACTGTGGTGAAAGTATTTGAGAATGAGTAAATGGCAACATTTTTTTTTTTTTTGTCCAGGGGGTGTGAGTATTCTGCTTTTCATCAGATTGTGCTGTCTAGCATATGGGCTGTTTTTCAGTTGGTATTTTGGGTGCATTTTTCAGTTCTGTGCTGTGGTGAGTGGCTGGGGACCGTGGCACTCCATATGGTGGCTTTCATACTTTCCTGCAGGTGTAAAAGAAAGGATACAAGAGAACACTGTTTGAGATAAAGGTTAGAGCAATTCTAGGTTTGAAATGTCTGTTCAGAGCAAGAACAAGACATTTCAAACTGCTTAGTGGAAAGACTCTAACATATTGTAAATGTTTTACTGACATTTCTTAAGAAAATCCATTTTGTATTTTTATCTCTGTTAAATAACAATCTGCTGCCTCTTTGAAATAACCTGACAGTTTATCAATATCATATGTCTTTAACCTGATGTAACTTAGACAGAGACAGTAAAGGGTGCATAAACAGCCTCTACTACAAACAACGTTTATCTTATTTGAACTGAGCGGTAGGAAGTGAACGTATCACCAAGGAAGCACAGCTACTCTCCTTAACACTCATGGCAGCCCGCTCAGTAATTACTATGTCATATGGTCATGATTTACCCAAAGGGCCAGATCAAAACTGAGCTATGACTAGTTGGGATTAATCATTTTAAACTACGCTCTGCTAGCAAGGATGACACCTGCGTGTTAATCCCGCTGTGAAAAGAATCTTGGTTCATGTTTGAGAGACGTCTTTTGTAACCGTAGCATCACGTTTTGGAAATTAGGGTCTTTAGGTAAGACATTGCCTATTCTCTTTGTTTTGCCTGTAGGGAGACACTGGGTTTTCACATATGGAAGCTTTCAAATTGCTACTGCTTAGCAAACACGCACAGTGGGTTTGTGGTTTATCCCACCAGTCTCAAAGCAAAGCCTTTCTGGTGCAGGGCAGTACCACAGAAGGGATTACTACAAAAAGGCTTTAAATACAGTCTGTAATCAGAAGAGCTTTTTATTTGTTTCATGTTTCTGCCCTCTAGGTACCTTTGGCAGCACGATGCTTAGGCGTTCTTCAGCTAAAAGAGCCTGACATACTGAAAACAGATATCAGAGATCGCATTTCACTCAGTTTTAATAGTAGTGGGTAGGGATACAGTGATAATCTATCTAGAGCATTTAATGTGCATGCAATTTAATGTCTATCCTTTTCAGATTAATTAAATGTAGAAAGGATGAAATCTTCTTTCTTCCATGGCTTCCTAAGTAGCAACGGTTCACTCTAAATGAATGCCTTGTTATCTGTTTTAATTTCATCCTCATTTTCACCTTGTGTTTGGCACTTCTTAAACACTTCTTGTCTGCCTCATTGCTTGCTCAGGCAAGGAGGATGCCTGTTTCAGAAAGACCATTGCCTACCTGGTGTTAATGCAGGTGATTCCTCTGAAAGGCAAAGCTACGTTTGGTTCTGACTCACAGAACTTATGCTTTTAAATACTAAATGTACATTTTTACTTGGCCAGAGAAGGCTCACAATTGTAAAAGGCAGAAAAAAAAGCTTGTTTAAGTATTGAAGGTTGTTTGGTTTCTTTTGTAAATTATTATTTCTTTCAATGAGTTCAACCAGTTATTAAACGATCAAGATTTTAAAATAAAAATGTAGAAGATACACAAAAAGATAAAAATTGTATGTGTTACTGCTGAAAAATAATTTGTCATTAAATCAAGGTTTCATTGAAAACACATAATCACATTATCCTCTGATCTTTAGGAACATATTTGCGTGTAAGTATATAAACATGCGTCTTACCGTGCCTGACATTTGCTTTAGGAATGTAGTAAAAATGAGTGGGGAGACTCTGAAGGCTTTTTAGCGAGTAAGATTCAGATCAGAACAAATCATAACATCTGGTATACCATGACTAAGAATCAATCAAATTGTTCCAATTCATCTTATACTCCTTTATTTTACTTTTCGATTATATGGAAGAGAATTAAGCTAGCATACGTCCTTGCCATTAATATCACTTCCTGCTGGTAGCTGGTTTGCAATTAGATCGTGGTAATGGCAGGTAAAACAGAACGTAGCAGACAGAGGAGGAGAAATCAAAAAAAAAAACACCTGTAAATAACTACACTTGCTTTGATTATATTAAAGAGAAAATTTGTACTGGGGAAACTGGTGCATTAAGACAACAGTCATGAGAAAAACTTACAGCTATAAGTACAGATGTGTCAGCAGTAGTAATGCCATCCAAGGAATGCACTCGAAACTCTCAGAGACTTATTATGTAAACTTAACTGTGTTGATGATGAGAAAAATCATAAATAAACATTTTTGATGCATTATGTGAAATCTGCAAAGAATTTGCATTATTTTTTTTTTTTTTTTAAATAAAGTTCTGACAACCATTCTTGTCTTTTTCCCGGATAGGTACCTATTACATCATTTCTTTGGTGAAGGCTATTCAGCACCAGTGACTTCTTCCAATCGACCACTCCACAAATTATTACCTCTGGACTCCCAGCTGACACCCTGCCGGAGGCTAGAGCTACTGAGACAACTGGAATTGTGCCCGTTCTCGTCAAGGTTTTTTCTTTCACGGAAAAAAAAGAAAAGATGAAGTTGGGCAAAGTGGAGTTTTGCCATTTTCTGCAGATACTAGCTCTTTTCCTGTGTCTTTCTGGGATGAATCAAGCAGAGCTTTCGAGGTCCAGGTCAAAGCCCTACTTTCAATCAGGGAGGACAAGAACCAAACGCAGCTGGGTGTGGAATCAATTCTTTGTCCTGGAAGAATACATGGGTACAGACCCACTCTATGTAGGAAAGGTAGGGGATTTAAACAAACTTTGGAGGGTGCAGATGCTTGCTTTTTGACATGTTTGTATGGTGCAACCTGAAAATTGTAATTCTGTCAGCATGGTTGACTTGAGCCAGGATGGGACAAAGTTTCGTAGTTTGAAAAAGAAAAAAGTTTAACACTTCAAAACAGCGACATATTACATTCCTGATTCCTCTTGCAATTTTCATTAAGACCTCTACCTATTAGCTATGCTTCTTTAAAGGAGTACAATAACAAAATTGTTTTACCGCCATTGATACAAAGAAAGTATTTTTTTTACTAATATTAGATGTATTTTTTTTATAGAGGAATTGAGAAACGTAATGATGGATATTCTTTTACAAGAGATAACAACTAGTCCCAGAAAATAAAAGTTCTGTGTTATGTTGTTTGCTCCCAAAAAATCAGCACTACTGAAGGCAAGAGAGAAAGAATCAGGCATCTGGGGGTGTGACAAGTAAAAAAGGAGGGCACGTCTCCATCGCTGCTTTGCTTTGACATTGCCTAGCTGGCAGATTGGCACCTCAGGGGCCTCGCTGCCCTCCGTGCATAGCACAGCCCTGTGGCTTTACCTTCCCTCTGACGGGCACCAGGCCAGGGCAGAGCGAGCCCTCACGTCAGAGCATCCCAAACGGCTCATTTCACGTGCCCGTCGTGGCACGTGGAGCACATGGAGCACAGCTGTGAATCCAGGCCTTAGCTCATTCACTGCCTTGTGCCGGTGGCTAATATGTTTCCTTCAGCAATTAGGAAGGAAAAAAACCAACACCCTAAACAAGCAAAAAAAAAACAAACACCCTCTTGTGTTTCTATGTAACATTTCTGTGGAATCATCTTACTGAAAGAAAAACCCATTTTTCTATGTAATATCAGAATCAATAAATAGTGTTTCTCATTAAAATATAGCAAATGTGTAGAAAACAAGGGTGTGACAGCTTTTAGCAAAATGGCATACTTACAGAAAAGGAGATGAAGTAATCTGAAATGCACCGCTTCAAATATACGCGTGCAATGAATTTCAGCTTACTTAATTTGTCCTACTGAGACAAAAACCTTGATGTTTGTGTTAACACAGTTAAGCACTTAGAATTTAATCATGCCAACTGAATAATCAAGTTAAATAGGGAACTGCTCTCATGATTACAGCTATGCTTGTGTTTAGGTGCTTTTCTGAACTGGGGCTGGCACTTTGCACAACTGAGCCTTTAAGAAAGATGTGCTAGAATCAGAAATATCTCTTATTACAGCGGTCCTGCAGGTTTTTGTTAAGTTTTAGGTTATGTAGCAGTTTCCTTTCTGGTGCCATGCAGCTGCTGCTTGGCTTTGTAAGTTTTGTCTTTTAGGCAAATTTGTTCTCAGGCTGGAGCTTCTCTTGTGCCTCTGGAAAATGGCATATTTGGCATTCTTGCCCGGTGATAAAAAGGGAAGTGTCATTTACAAATTATAATTTCTCTCCTGGAAAAGAAGTGTCTTTAAATACTCAACTGAAGACTGCTTTTGATCTGTAGCAATTCGCATATTCATTCAATTGCTATATTATGGCCAAAGATGCTGTGGTAGTGCCAGAGTACATGATATTTGCATGTATGTGGTTATTTTTAGCTTCACAGTCTGCTCTTTCCTGTCCTTTACAGGAGTCCTAGCATTCATAAGCAGATATCTTCTGAAAAGCCAACCTTTTTTGCTGAAACAGTCTGTGCCCAGCCTGCTTTTGCATCAGCAGTAGGAATTGTTGGCTCAAGAACTCACATTTGTACCAGCAATTCATTTTGTAGGAAAAGCAGATAAAAATTTGCACTTGCAAAAGGAAGCCCATCTTCCTGGAAACAGAGCCCTTGCTGAGCATCTTATAAGATAAGACGTGCCCAGTTCCTAACCTTCTCACTGGAGAGGCTTTTTACTGCGTGGTTCCTGAGGTGCAATCATGACCGAAGCTGCATTCCCATGCAGGGGAGCAAAGAGGTGAAGAAGTGATTTTCTTTCTGTATGTTAACATACTATATGTAGCACCACTCTGAAGTGAGCAGCAGTCATCTTCCTCCCCCTCTTCTCCCCTTAAAAATGTTGCTGTTCTTGTTTCAAATCCTTTGCAGTCAGGTATGGACTGAGAAGACAGATTTGGGTGGGAATGTTGTTTTCTTGGTGGGGTTTGGTTTTGGGTGTTTTGTTTTTTCTTTTTTTTTTTTTTTTTTTTTTTCTTTCCCTTTGGTGAGGAAGCTACGGCAAGCAAAGAGCTGGCCTAACTCACTTCTCTCATCAAGTGAAGTGGAAGCAGCAACCAGACTCTGCCTCATGTTCCACAGAGTGCTCTGCTCCCGGGGAGGTCAGTCCTGCACTGCCTTACATTCAGGATGCTTTGCAGGGTGCCAATCTAACTGCACATCCAGAAAGGATGAACCTTCCTTCAGATTTTAAGGGCTGTGAACTAAAGATGCTTCAGAAACACTCAGGCAAATGGAGATGCAATAGGGAGTATTTTCTCCCCACCACTATTCAGTTTTACAAAGCCCTAGGCAATTCTGTTTGGAAGGCAGCATTCAGAGAATGTTAGGGTTACACCGCAAATCATTTACGAGTCATGAAATACCAATGTTAATTCCATGTTCAACATTAACTCTGTCCTCCTGGGTGCGTGCATTCTGACACTTTAATTACATGATCGTACGAGGTAAAATCCTATTACTTTTAAATAATGCAACAGGATTCCTGTTCACCTCAGTATGACAAGTCTTTTACTTAAAATAATTTTTCAGTGTGTTCATGTTTGTTTAACAAGACCAGATCTGTACCTGAGGTATATTGCAGCCTTCTTTCTTGCATCCTTGATATCCAACTATTGGCAGAATGTTTTTCTTTTTCTTTTTTTTTTTTTTTTAATGTATTTATTTTCTCAAGGTGGCAGGGGCCTGTTTGTCACCTCACTCTGGAGAAACCTCTTGAGGAGTTCCATTAGTTTTACATTAATAGGAGCCAGAGGTGACTGAGGTTTTTTGCTTTTTTTTTTTTTTTTAATATAGGTCTTTCCTCTCTGTAGTATGAATTTTAATCATCTTGGATTCAATCCTGAGTAATTCTGAGTGCCTCTTGGGAGGTGCTTAACATGTAATCAGATTGTGGACTGAACCATACACAATTTCTTTCTGTCTGTCAGCACAGCATATGTTATATTCACTTAAAGGGCTGAAGCATTTAACTATTTAGCCCATTTACCTGTTCAGATAGGCATTGTTATCTTCCAGACATGCCATGTAGGAGATGAGGCAGTTACCTATGCTTATAGCTAAATTAGCATCATAGTTAGTTTCTGTTTTCCAGAAAATGTTTACTGTTGCTCAGTAATATGTTTTGTGAAGTGCCTCACTCTGTATTTTCCATATAAATGACTTTAATGGAATCTATTTGGGCATAAAAATAATAGTATAGAGCAATTTTAAATGATTCAGTGCATAAACATCTAAAATTAAGAAAAAGTGCATGCTATTATATTGAATATTTCAAGAGTTGTATACCATCTAGTAATTAAAGTCTATGAGTACACATTGGCAAAAAGAGGTGTAGTTAAAGTAGAAATGTAAAATTTTGTTTATATCTTTTTTGGTTTTGTTACATAACTAACAGACATCCAGGGTTTGATTTTGGTTATGGTGGTTGGGTTTTTTTGGTTGCTGGGTTTTTTTGTTTGTTTGTTTGTTTTGGTTCTTTTTTGGTGTTTGTTGGTTGTTTTTTTTTATTTCATTTTACATATTCTGCTGCAAAAGTGTCAGTCTCCTCAAAAGCATTATAATAACACAAAGTCTCAGCCAGTAATCCTTTAATTTTTCGTGTTAAAAAATAAAAAAAAATATAAAAGAAGCCACAAATAAACCCGAAGAAGTGAAACAAGGCTGTGATCCAAATCAAAGCTGCTTTCCCAATGTCTCTTGTTGAAGAGTTGTCTCTTGTCTCTAGTTGAAGACAGGGACAGTTTCGAGCTCTTTGTTCAGTTCAACTCTTTGGGGGTTTTTTTTGTTTGTTTGGTTTTTTTGTTTGTTTTTCCCCTGAAACCTCACTAATATATGAAGGACTGAAAATAAAAGTAAAAAAGACATAGGTTTGATTGAGCACAAAACCCAGAAGTTGATATGTAACTTTGAGAGGCTCACTGGTTCTTCTCAGATAACACTTGAAACTTCTAAGGTGCCCTGCATGTGGTTGTTATTCATAATGTATGGGCAAAGAAAGCATAAATCTAACTTGCGTATTCTAGATGGTCAAATCAAGAAAAAAAGGTTAAATGAGTGAACTAAGAGCACTTAATTTGTTGGCACTCACAGTCACTGCCTTCCAATTCCATTTCACCTGCCTTTTTGTTTTTCTTCTAACTACTTTAAGATAAAAAGGTTTGTTGGATTCAATTTTCAAACATGGACCAAAGTGCATAAAAGGTAATATTTGCATTATTATTTTCTGGAGCAGCACAGAATGAGTGAAGCATTAAAAAAAAAATGCAGAGAACTTAAACATTTCCTAGAAAATTGGTGCATTTAAGAGAATTTACAGGTTTGTGCCAAGGCAGGGTGGGGAAAGGGCTTTTCATGCAGCAAAATAACAAGGTGTGTGTTATTGTCGGCATAGTGAGTCGATTGTTTTTTTGCAGCCTCATCATTTTGGAGGGAAGGAGGCTGGACAGGGAAGGATACTGTGGTTTTGTATTTGTTTTTTGTTTTTCAAAGGTGTTGGTGAATGTGTCAATAGTGTGACAGAATTATTCATCTATGATACTTATCTGTGGTGTGACCTTATATCAAGCTGTACAGATGCAGTCAGAAGTAGGGCTGTTTTTGTAGATTGTAGCCTGACACTTCCCGATGCGGCTGGTGGCTTGGATAATAAGTGTTTTTGCTAAAATACTTTAAGGTGGTGAGTACTGTGGAAGCACTGGCCAGTCAGTATACTCAGACTGATGTGTGGGAATATCAGCTGCTGAGAAACTGAGGGAACTTCATCT